AAAAAAAAAAAAAAAAAAAAAAAAAAAAAAAACCTTGGAGCCATCCTGCCCTTCTCACCCCACATGCACACGACATCCTGTTGAACCCATCTCTCACACCTCTTCTCCACCCCATGACCACGGCCGCCTCAGTTCAGACCTTCATACGCACTGCCCGTGATATTGCAATAGCTTCCTGGCTTTCTCTACTTCAGCACTTCCTCCACATTGCCACCAGCGTTATCTCCCTAAAAGTAAATCTGAGCATATCACAGCCCTTGTTTGAAGACCTCTGAAAGTTCCCTCCTGTCCACAAGTTATAGCCCAAACTCCTTGGCATGACATTCAATGCCTTGGTCCCCAAACTACAACTCCATCTCCCATCAATTTTCACAATGCATGTCTTACTTCTAGCAAAGTCCTTTTTGTCCTTTAAAGTCTAGCTCACATTTCTAGAGGTCAGAAAACACTTCTTTCACTGTCAGCAGTATTATCAGCACCGATCTTTGCAATAGTCATATGGTAATTTATTCATCTCTAATTGTTATAATCATTGTCTAGGTTGTGGCTTAAAGCACAGACTCTAGAACTAGACTGCTAGATGTGTCGTCTTGGGTGTGCTGCTTAACTGCTCTGTTGTACTGTGCCTAAGGTTTCACCAGTTAAATAAGGATAAGTCCCTACTTCACAGGGTGGTTGTGAGGACTGAGTATATGCGTATGTGTGCGCACACCTTAGAATGGTGCCAAACACATAGCAAGCTTCCTACATACGTGTTTGCTGCTATTGCTATCATTTATTTGTCTCCCACGCCCAGGCTCCAAGTTCACCCAAATCACAGATATCTCCTATCCTAGCCAAGTACCTAAGTGCATAGGATGCCTTTGAAAAATGTTGGTTGAACAAATGAGAGACTGGGCCAGCCCTAGAATTGTAGCTAAACCCAGGTCCTGAGGGCCACACCTCCCTCAGGCTGAACCAGTTGTCTGGAACATATAATACGTACCTCTTGGACCGTCTGTGCAGGGTGAATTCGAATGTTCATTGTGGCCTGGGCAGTTGAGGGGATGACATTCACCTAGAGAGAGAACCACAAACCCCGGCCTGAATCAATTTCAAGTCTTCCACACTTGATCCCTGCCCAGGAAATGCCAATTACCACCAGTAGATTCAGAAGCTGATCTGATTTAAGGACCAAGGACTTAATGTTTTTAGTCTGCCCCTTGTCTTCTCTGGGCCCTTGCCATGTGTTTACATTTTGAGCCAGAGGGGTGTCTCTGCTTTAGGCCAGACTTTTCTGATTCTTGGTCCTGGAGGAGGTCATGGAGCTGCTCAGAGCAAGACTGCTTTCTCTGTGACCACCCAGACATCTCGTTTTGACCCTGTGCTGTACCATTAGGTGCCTTCTGTGTGTACTTTCTTTCCCAGGGCGCCCAGGACATTTCTGCAGCTGTTAACATTAGTGCTTACTCAGGACAGGGCACCCAGAGCCTCTGTAGGTCCCATCATGGCAGGTTTGATCCCTGAAGGTGATGACAATGGTGGTGGTGATTTCCCACATCTAGTTGCCAAATCTGACTGTTCTTTGCCTGACCAGGAAGAACCCAGGACTAATTGGAGAAGAGAGTTAAGCCATGGAGGAATTTTTCTTGAGAGTCTGGGAGAGAACAGACTCCCCAACTGTGTGTCTTTGAATTGTATGGTGCAAAAAACCAGTAGACTAGGGACAGGAGAACCGGGCTGTTGCAAATAGTGGTGTGATCTTATTTATTTATTTTTTTTTTGGAGGCTGGACAGTACAGGGATCTATCTGAACCTGTGACCTTGGTGTAGCAGTGTGATTTCTGAATTATAACCTCTTTGTGACTGTTTTCTCAAAGGGCAATGGGGGCAATAATACTCATAGGACTCTTAGAAGGATCAAATGGAATAACAAATGTGATGGTATTCTGGGGAGATAAAAACACAATTCAAATGTAAGGACACACTATTTTAGTGAATGCTAAAGGCAGTTGGTAAAGATAGCTTGGGTCCAGCTGACACCCTGAATACTCCAGTCATTATGCCAGGAATTAATTCTGAGGCACCATTCACATATACCCAGTCTGGGCTCCAGAAACCAGAGCTCCTCAAGGTCACACTGTACTCTAAGTGAATAGTGCCCCCTGAAGTTGTGCTGGTGGAACTGGTAGTTATAGGAATGGTCCAACTCCCTTCAAGATTTCAGAAAGGCCTGTGCCTTTGTGTGGCTAGGCTTGGTTCTTTAAATAGAGATGACCCTTAGAGGCCAAATCCAACCGGAAGTGGATCAATTTGCTGAAAAGTAATTCCTGGAAAAAAATGTTTACCAAAGTATTGATTCATATGGAACTTTTCTGTAAAAGTAAACCTCATATAATTTTCTTTTTTTTGGCTGGCCAGTACGAGATCTGAATCTTTGACCTTGGTGTTATCAACACTGTGCTCTAACCAACTGAGCTAACTGGCCAGCTATACACACTTTTATTGCTTTTTTTTGCTTTTTTTGGTGGCTGGCGAGTAAAGGGATCTGAATCTGTAACCTTGGTGTTACCAGCATCACACTCTCCCAAGTGTGCGAATTGGCCAGCATAAATCTCATATAGAATTCTTGTGTGCTAAACTTATGTTTGCTAAGGCCACCCAATATTTAGTAGATTCTAGGAAATGACAATGTGTATGTTTTAAGTACTATATATCACACATGTTATAGATTTTGTAAATGGCAGGCGAGTTTCTCTTTCAGTTTAGTGTAACACTAGGAGAAAATACATTAATCACTAACTAAATTTGTTAGGTGGATAAATCTTTCAAAACATGGGGAATACCGGTGGCGCACTCGGTAGAGTGCAGCGCTAGGGAGCGCGGCGGTGCTCCTGCCAAGGGTTCGGATCCCATATATAGAGACCGTCTGCTCACTGGTTGAGCGCAGTGTGGGTGTGACACCGAGGGTTGCGATCCCGTTACCGGTCACGAAAAAAGACAAAAAGGAAAAAAAAAAAAACATGGGGAAGACAAAAAAATAAAATTAAAATTAAAAAAGAGCAGGGCTGGTCAGTTAGCTCAGTTAGTTAGAACACGGTGCTGAGAAAACCAAGGTCAAGGGTTAGGATCCAAGTACTGGCCCGCTGCCCCAAAAAAAAAAAAAACTTTGGTGTTAAAGGTTAGAAACCTTTAATCTATGTGTGCAAAGGGTTAGGTAAATATAAAACAAGTTGAATTATAGGGTGAGCATAGGTCACCAGAATTAACTCCAGCCCCTACCAGACTAATAGCAGACTTCTCAACAGAAACTCTACAGGCCAGAAGAAAGTGGGATGACATATTCAAAACACTAAAAGAAAAAAAATGCCAGCCAAGAATACTGTACCCAGCAAGGCTATCCTTCAGAAATGAGGGGAAAATAGTGTATTTTCCAGACAAAAGCTGTGAGAGTTCACCACCACATGACCAGCCCTACAAGAAATCCTCCAGGAAGTCCTGCATCTGGAATCTGAAAAATGATAATCACGATCACAAATACACAAGAAAGAACAAAACCCACTGGTAGAACAAAATTGCAAATGAGAGAGAAACTAAATCTTACCACCACAAAAAGCCATAGTGACAAAGTAATCATGTCCCTGATTTATTTCTGATTTTAGTAATTTCAGTCTTCTCTTTTCCCTTGGTCAGTCTAGGTAAAAGTTTGTAAATTTTGTTGATCTTTTTAAAAAATCAACTTTCAGTTTTGTTGATTTTGTCTAGTTTTTAATTTGCTATTTCATATATTTCTTTTGTAATTTTTGTTATTTCCTACTTATATTTGCTTTTGGTTTAGTTTGCTCTAAGGTAGAAGTTTGCTGATTTGAGATTTTTCTTATTTTTAATATAGGTGTTTACAAGTATGAATTTTCCTCTAAGCACTGCATGAGCCCTGAACCCTATAAATTTCCATATGTTGTGCTTTGATCTTTATCTCAAAGTACTAATTTCCCTGTGATTTTTCTTTTCACCCATTATTTAGAAGAGTGTTGTTTAACTTCCACACATTTGTGAATTTTCTAAATTTCCTTCTGTTATTGTGGTCAGAACATATTTTTTATGATCTTAGTCTTTTTAAAAAAAAAAAGAAAAAACTTAAACAAAAATAAAGTTCATGGAAAGATTTCCATTATCTTTCAATTCTATTTTTCCATGAACTTTTTGAGGTGCCCTTGTGTTTATATTGTTTTATTGATATTTTTAATGCAATTTTTGATGCTAAAGTTAGATATTTAATTTCTATTCTTGTTTTCTTTTTAAGTGGACTTGTTGATTTGCTTAGAAATTGATTTGCCTTTGAAAAGTTTATTCATCTTCCTCTGTTGATGTTAATTTTATATTTGCATGGCTTTGGAAGGCTTTAGAGAACTATCTCAAATAATTGTAGAGATCATAAAATGAAATGTGCAAATTTTTTTTTTTTTTTTTAAAGATGACCGGTGAGGGGATCTTAACCCTTGACTTGGTGTTGTCAGCACCACGCTCACCCAGTGAGCAAACCAGCCATCCCTATATAGGATCCAAACCCGCGGCCTTGGTGTTATCAGCACCGCACTCTCCTGAGTGAGCCACGGGCCGGCCCAAAATGTGTAAATTTTAATAAGTTCTCCATCTCCATTTTTTGTGAAAATTTGAAGCCCTTCTTTCTACAAAGTATTTTGTTATTCATGTTATTTAGTTTTTAAAAAAATAAAAATAAAAAACATAAAAGAGAAAGGAAGACTTTGGAAAAAAAAAAAAAAGAATTAATTCCCAAATAATCCCTCTTCTCACTAGCATGATGGTTGATTTTTGGGGGGAGTATAGACCCAAAGAACCTGAGAGAGTCATGGAACCTCCACTAAAATACACATATGAAGGTACGTTAAATAGTTCATGGAAAAATGAAATTAAAAGATAATGTGAATCTTTCCATGAACTTTTTCTTTTTGGGTGGCTGGCTGGCACGGGGATCCAAATTTTGGCCTTGGTGTTATCAACCCTGCGCTCTTACCAAGTGAGCTAACTGGCCAGCCCTTCCGTGAACTTTTTGAAGACCTCTTGTTTTTTTTTTTTTTTTTTTTTTTTTTTTTTTTTTTTTTTTTTTTTTTTTTTTTCC